GTATGTCGAAAATATGGAAAAAAAGTCATAGTATAGTGTGTCGAAAATATGCATTTTTTTATTCAGTCAAATTACCTCAAGTTAGATGAACATTTCTGCAAATGGATAAAAAAATAAAATCACACACATATCGATAGATTCGGTGCAAACTACCTAAGATTCTCAAGCGTCGATGCTTATTCATGCAAAGTTTCAGACAATGGAGAAAATGTTTAAACCTGACAAACAAGAGCTGTCACATTCTTTTTTCTCAGTGCTAACCTCAAACAGATCTACAAGGTAGTGAGTATTTTCAATGTTCTGTGACTGGCACGGAATAAGACATTTATAATCTCAGCATTCCGATGTGCAACACACCTAACAGCACATACTGTAGCTGCCTGTCATGTGTGCACCTTATCATCTCATCTTGCATGCATGCTGACGACGGTGACACAGCAACACCTCCGGGAATTGTATGTCTCAATTATATAGGTACAGTTGCCAGCTCTGTGTATTATATTATAATACAGAACACATATAAATGTAGAATCTATAGGTCCATAACAGAATATAACGGTGGAAATAATAATGAAAAAAAAAATAAAATAAAGAAAAAAAAAGTTACAATGCAAGAAAAGTATTTATTGGCTTAAATGTACAGCATTCATATAACAAAAAGCAGTTTTGATGTCATAGTAAACTGGGATGTATTATAATACGTGACATTTTTAGGAAATTGTATGTAAGTTGTTGTAAGTTTTAGCCCTACATTCACTTGCGTAATTTTTGTATAAATCTTTGATGAGCATTGCTTTAATAAATGTAAAGCTGAAACAAAACCCAGGTCAACATTAAAATAAGGGAGCAGGCTAAGGTTAAACAAAACTCAAGCAATAAACACAAACAAAAATAAAACCGGGATGGCACAAGAAAACACGGAGAGCAAGGAATCCAGGAACAGTAACAAGAAACATTCAAGGAAGAACAATACCAGTTGATAAGATGATAAAAAAAAAGACAATCGGAACGCCAATGGGGGAAACATTGATGACAAACGCCAGGTAAGACAGGCAAATATCCAAGCCTAACGGATCCTTCTTTGGACATATATATTATATTTATTATATTATATTTGTATTTAATTATTTACTGTTAATATTGATGAGTATCCTGTGTCCATCCATCCATCTTCTACCGCTTATCCTGGGTCGGCTCATAGAGGAAGCAGTTCCAGCAGAGGGCCCAAAATGTCCTTTTCCCTGGCCACATAAACCAGCTCTGGCTGGGGGATTCCAAGGCGCTCCAAAGCCAACGTGGAGATATATTTCTTGCTCTGTCATGATATTTGAACGGACTACAAACTAGTGGAAGAACACTTCACTTAGCATTTTTATTATGACTGCCATTTTGTCACTTTTTCACTTTAACATGCACATTTTTTGTATGTATTTCGGGTGAACTGTATGTTGTGCTTTGTATGGTGTGCTGTGTTGTTTTATTTACCGGTGCCTAAGAAAAATGTCAATTTCATGTACATTTAATGGACAAAAAAGTGATCTCAATTTGAATATGAATATACAAACAGGAATAATCACAGTCACAAAACAGGTGATGCTTATTTACACTGCTTTACATTTGTGAGATTTGTGCCTGAAAGCATCCATAACCTGCCGGTGCACCTTATGATTCACACAGCAGAGACCCACACAGTGAAAAACACATGCGCACGCCTCAATATGTCTCACCATATTTGCTCTTCAACACTACTAGAGCTTTTTAATTGTTACCTTTATACATATAATTTATCACACCACCACATTTATCTGGCAGCTAGGTACTTTGCAGATAAAGACAGTACCAATATATTGTCAGCATTTGCAAACATAATCACCAAAGGAAACATCTAAAATGAGCTCCAGAGTTATAAAAAAGTTTGCCAATAACAATAACGACATGCTTCCTATTTGTGTATTACATGTCATTTGTTAGACGCTTTTATCCAAAGCGACTTACTTTCATTCAGTACTGTGGACAATCCCCACAGGAGCAATTTGGGGTGAAGTGTCTTGCCCAGGGACACAACGACATGCTGACTGCAGTAGGACTCAAACTTGCTATCCCCTGATTCGAAGTCCAGCACACTAACCACTGAGCCACAGCTCCCACAGTGTATGCTGCATTATAATCAGGGGTGCACACAACTTTCTCAGTGAGGTCCTCAGATGAGTACCTGGAGTCAGTGTTTGGTACTCCAACTTCTGACCATTGTTAACGGGGGGGGGGGGGGCGTCAGTGGAGTACAGCGCTTCACGATTGTTAACGGGGGGGGGGGGTGGCGTCAGTGGAGTACACCGCTTCGCGATTGTCAACGGGGGGGGGGGTGGCGTCAGTAGAGTACAGAGCTTCGTGACCGCGGCGCATGTGAACGTTGTGATCAGCTGTTTTAGCGCAGGGCTGCTGTACAGACCGACGTTAACAGCAACCCTGTCTGTGCACACGGAGACCGACTCTGTCGTCCGGTGAACTAACCGCCTTCTGGAAAAGCTTCACATTTACGTCGGTACGCAAATGCGCTTTGTGACACACGTGACGGTACGCATTTCAGATTGTTGCCGCGCATGCGTACCTGCGTACCAGTTATGTGCACCCCTGATTATAATGATATAACTGTCCCTACATAGAGAGTACTTGAACTTTAAACCTCATGTACATCTAGCTGAGCCATTTAGTTGTAATGGAGTATTTTCCATTGTAGTATTTTACCTTGTCTATTTGAATAAAGGACATGGTTGTGTGTCTCCTCCCTGTGGCAGGTGTGAGGTCTGCCGCTTCATCAGTCTAAACAAATGTTGAATTATTGTTTGCTTTGGTTGTTAATTTATTCTATTTATATAATATGTTCTTAGAAGTGGTGTCCAATTACCAGTGTGATATAATATTTTTCCTCATCGTATCTACAACAACAAAAGGCAAGTGAGCTCTCACGCTCTGACTTTCAATGTTCTCCTTCTTACCTCCTGCCAAAACATTCTCTGTGCCGAAAACAGAACCCCCCTCCGTTGATGGAAAGAGGATTTGTTTTTTGCCTGATTACAGCTTCTACACCATTAAACATCTAGCCTACAGTTTTTATCCCAAGCTGTGACTCAATCCTGAGCCAAAGGTGTGGATTTGTCCTGCTTTATCCTGTTACAATGAAAGTCAAGGTAGTTGGTCAGGTATGCTGTCTTGTGAGCGCCAATCAACATTGAGATTCTTCCAACATTATTTTTTGTTTACTTTGCGAGCACAAAATAGTTTTCATACTCTTTGTTTAACTGAACTCCATAATTTCAGTAAATCAATGAGAAATACAAAATGTAAGCAAGAGGTAATAATGTGCAGCATGAAAATCCTCGCAGCAAAAATAACCATTTTGCGTAGAGGCCATGATCCCCCTGATTGATTTGATTTAAAAGTATTGTTTTGCTTAAGCTGAGATAAAATAGTCCGTTCTACTGCGCAGAACCGTGGGCAGAGATACCTAACTTCAAAGGACAGCAGCACTTATCAAGGTTTCCTGCCTTATCATTTTCCAAGTCTTTTAACTTGCACTTTTTTTTCATGTTCCCCTTTGTTTTTTATTTTCTGGGGACAGTTTGGCCATCAAGAATAAACATTTTGAACTTTCTTCTTCTTTTTTTTTTTTTTTAAGTGAAACGTTTTTAAAATGCTTAGCACTTTATGTCGTCTTGATTTGACAACATTTCTGTTGTTTCATTCACACAGGTCTTTCCACTTTCCTAAGCAAGTAACTTCTGAAGCAAGTAATAGTAAACTTAAAAGTATAGGCTCGGACAGTATTACAGTAAATTCAGATAATATGATTTTCAAAATTGATGGTTTTATTATGATGTATACAACCCGGTATCACGGCAAGACGTGAACATGTGACGATCTACCATGCTGGGAGACGTGAATATGTCACGGTTTCGTCCCTTCAAACGTGACAGTTACACGGTATTGTTAACATGGCCCAACCAGTGGAGAAATACCCGGAAGGGCCAAGCAAATGGTCTACCGCGCCTATTGGTCGGTTTTTATTGTCAAAATTAGATGTTTTTAATTTATTTTGTAATCGTCACACTCGATTTTGCCGATTTTCTTGTTGCCCTAGCTGGTCGACACCTCTTTTAGCAGAAACAAAGGCTACATTAATGTATTAAATCGATGTTAATCCATGTGTGTGGATCATAGACTGGTGTGGATGTGGAATTAACGGACGTGACGTTGTGCGATTGCGTTGTGCGACAACGCAATTTACAAACTCTTCAACTACATTTTAGAAGGCCTCACGAAATACTTTAATGTAAATTAAAATGTAAATGTGAAGGGGTGTGTGTAATGTGGTGATTGACATTATTCACCCACGGATCTATGGGTTGGGGGTATTGTTCCGCACGGACATTTTAGTTAACCGGACTTACTGTTGATGTGAAATCCGAAAGAAAATACGTTATACACCATAACGGTACACAGCTGATATAAAAGGACTTGTCGTTTTTAAATATATTACTGATTTTCTTTGAATATAAGAATGTAAATACTGAGTTGAGAGAATAGTCAGGGGATTTGGGTGATGGGAGACACATCTATGGATTCAGAATTTCAATAGCTTACTGTTAAATGACGGATATACCTTTCTGTCTGTGATGTTTTACAAATCAGATATTATAAGTAAAATATGTGAAATAATATAGCAATATCCTGTACAATTATGTGAAAACATGAAAACTACACATCTTCAGATGTTATACATACACAAGTGTCCTACACTAATAATACAAAGTTATTATGGCTGTGTGTACCTTGTGTGCACCGCCTAGTGGTTAAAGCACGTTATTGAATTAGTTGTGTGTATGATATGTCAATGATCCTTAGAAAATCTTGAAATCTTGAAAGGGATATGCAAAATAGCCATTATATACAGTCTTTAATTAACTATTAGTAGAGAATAACGAGTAATGAATATACTTTATAGGGATCTGCAATTTAATAATTCCTTATCGAAGTATGGAAACTGGAGTAGGTTTCTCATATTTTGAGTGGGTGCGTTACAGTAGCTCTCTGATAACATAATGCAATAAGGGTACCAGCAGATTTTATTTATAGGGGGAAAGTTACCTGATTCTTAATCATTGTAGCCCGACCTTTATAAACAGCAGAAGATGGATTCAGCAAGTCACTCGTAAATGTGTCTAGGACAGATCTGAAAGTCACCCTTTTTGTTATAAGGGCTATAGTAGTAGGTGCTGTAGTCGCAGGTCGAGCCGTTGTAGGTGCTGCAGTTTTAGGTTTAGCAGATGTAGGTGCTGCAGTTTTAGGTTTAGCAGTTGTAGGTGCTGCCGTTTTAGGTTTAGCAGTTGTAGGTGCTGTAGTTATAGCTGAGACTGGACTTGCTGTAAAAACAGACATATAAATATTATGTTAATATGTATCAGTGCCCAAACCAAGAGGATTTATGTTTAATTTGTTTTAGGTAAAACCCTGGTGCCAGTTTTACAGAAAAATATCAATAATGAAGGGCTTACAAAAATATATTTGTTCTGAAGTTTCTTAGGAAAAAGTATTCTTGCAACAAATAACAATTTATTTACAAGATATGACATTAAACAATACACAACTGTAAACTGAAAATCATTAAAGTAGTGTTCATTAATTTTGTCTTTACCTACATTTTTTCCTTAGCTACATACTTTTGTTAGTAAATTATTTATAAACCAAGCATGCGCAGCAAATGTTATTCAAAATGGTTTAGAAACTTATTGGAGAGAAACATTGTGTTGTGTTTACTTACATTCAACTTTGACTGAATCAGGACTTATGCTCACGTCGAAGATACTGTTGGTATTATTTACAGCTTCTACTAAGGTTTGAACCACTTCATTATTCTGTGGGAGATCTGCAAGAGGAGTTGTGCTCTTGAACACAACTCCCATTTCTGCTTCAGTTCCGGGCGCCCTTATTACTGCTAAAGCGCTGTTTTATAACATCAAATGAAAAAAGAGAACAATTATGATATGAAAGACTCTGTCTTGTGTCGTCTGATTTACATGTGTCACTATCAACACAAAATAATTTGTCTTTGTGAGACCCAAATCCGGAAACCTTTTTTACCTGAGCTTTTTCACCTTGCAGTGGGAAAATTTGTTTCCAAATTTGGCTTTGTATATCTTAGAACAGGGGTTTTCAAAGTCTGGGAAGGTGAGCCTCCCCTCAGAGAACATGAGAACAGCCGCGTCCCCCCTCCCAATTATTATTGCTATCATTATTATTATTATTATTGTTGTTGTTGCTATAATGCAGGGGTATTCAATTGCATTTCAAAGAGGTCCAATAAGAGCAAATGTCATTAAATGCTCTGTTTTCGCTGTCTACCTTTCTCTTTTTTGAGCACGCCATTTGAAGTTACTCCAACTGTTTCTCTCTTCTTGTCTCGTCTCTGTGTGTTTGAATCTATCGTGCTGACTCACTGACTGCACCGATTTGAATGGCTGAGTAGCATCACCTCCTAAAAACATTAAAAAATAACTTTTTAAAACCTTTTTATCTTTATGTTTTAAATATGTGTTTTAAACATTTTTTACATTTTCAACATCGTGGATGAATCCTTATATGCTCCCGGCAACACACTGAACATCAACTTTGCCTCCTTATTACACTCACCCCTACTTTAGTGCTGGGAACAATGAGTCTGCGTCTTTGATGCGCACATGCGGGTGATGCGGGGATCAGAGTCCTGCGGGGATCAGAGTCCTGCGGGGATCAGAGTCCTGCATTGGGTCGGTACCCGACGGGTGACCCGCAAAAAAAGTGATTCGCGGGTGGTAAGTTTCCTCAGACCTCTCCCCGCGGGACCGCGCATAATCATAACCTCTGCACCGCATCAATCTGCTGCTGAGCGCGCCACATTCGAAATGGCTGAGGTGAAGCTCTAGCGGAGAATACAGCATTGTAAATAACTCTTCCTCAAGAGCGAAATCCAACGTCTGGGAGGCTTTTGGTGTCATGGAGAAAATAACCAACATCCCACGCTTTTTGAGCCAAATACGCAACTGCGTGTGTTAATAATTGCATGTTTTCAGTGCTCCTAGGATATGCGGGTTCGGGTCGGTTTGCGGATCTTGTGCCGACGGGTCGGGTCGGTTTGCGGAACTAATTGGCAATATGTGCGGGTGGCGGGGCGGGTTCGGTATTGCACGTTGCAGGTGCGGGGCGTGAGCGGGTCTTGAAAATCAGACCCGTGCAGGACTCTGGCGGGGATGCAATGTAGACAGGAATAAACGCAGATCAGCCTCTGGCTGCAGCCTTGACCGGTACTTGCTTTTGATCAAAGTCAATGCGGAAAACCCGCACTCACACCGGTAGGTGGAGGTGAAGGGTATGAGCACTTTTACAACCTTTTTGGCGAGGTGGGGGAACTCGGTCTCCACAGACAGCCAAAAGTGTGCAAGTGACACTTTACTCATCTTGTTCTCGTTACTTTTTTTTCTCATGCTGCGCCTCCCCTGAAGCTCTCTGGCGCCCCCCCAGGGAGGCGCGCCTCACACTTTGAAAACCGCTGTCTTAGAACACTGCAAAAAAAAGCAACATTGAAAGACTTTTAGTAACTTTTGTCACAATATGCTTAAAATAAAAATTCAGAGATACTCAAATCGAGGTGATATAACAAAAAAACATTCACCGTTGATAGAAGTCGTGTTTCTTAGGAAAAAGTATTCTTGCAACAAATAACAATTTATTTACAAGATATGACATTAAACAATACACAACTGTAAACTGAAAATCATTAAAGTAGTGTTCATTCATTTTGTCTTTACCTACATTTTTTCCTTAGCTACATAATTTTGTTAGTAAATTATTTATAAACCAAGCATGCGCAGCAAATGTTATTCAAAATGGTTTAGAAACTTATTGGAGAGAAACATTGTGTTGTGTTTACTTACATATAACTTTGACTGAATCAGGACTTATGCTCACGTCGAAGGTACTGTTAGTATTAAGTTCTCATAAAATCTCAATGCCAAGCTTTTATTCTGAAAATCCTTCATATCCGGTTAGTATTTAGCATGTGGCTAATATTACGTTTTCTAAATGTGAAGTGAAAATGACACGGAGTGTTGCACACCAAAACCTACTGACTTTAACATTACATCTATAGACGTCAAGATATTATTACTGCTGAATATTAAATGAAGGTACAGTTGATCGTAAAGTGTTTTCACATACGTGGGTAGCTATGACATCAGAAGGAGTTACCGTAAATGAGAACTGTGCCGTAAAAGTGTTTCTAGGATTTCTAAACTAACTATTACAGCTGTTATAAAGCATTAAATAAAAAGTCATGAAAGAGATAAGGAGGAGAAAAGGCTTAAGGAAGTAAGCAATGAATACAAAATGTCGAAATCCTCTGTTTCACGCGATGTCGAACATTGAAGACCGAGGAGGGCGTTCCCCCAATCTACACAGCGGGAGAGAACGAGAAGAGCATAAAGCAGATCGGAGGGGACATCACGATCTCTCTTCTTCGCTGCAGCCTCCCAAGGGACAACACCGGCTTTTGTCTCTTCCTTACCTATGTTTGTTCTATAACAACGTTACTTAATTAAAGTATCCATTTAAACCTGTTCAGAGACTCCATTAGTCTCATTATTTTAAGTTTCTTTCCTGGGAGCGAGAAGATCACAATTCAACAATAAGTTGTAGGTACTGCAGTTGTGGGTGCAGCAGATGTAGGTGCTGCAGTTGTAAGTGCAGCAGTCGTAGGTGCTGCAGTTGTGGGTGCAGCAGTCGTTTGTGCAGCAGTTGTGGGTGCTGCAGTTGTAGGTGAAGCAGTCGTAGGTGCTGCAGTTGTAGGCGAAGCAGTTGTGGGAGCAGCAGTCGTAGGTGTTGCAGTTGTGGATACAGCAGTTGTAGGTGCTGCAGTTGTAGGTGCAGCAGTTGTCAGTGCAGCAGTCGTAGGTTTTGCAGTTGTAGGGGCAGCAGTTGTGGGTGCTGAAGTTGTGGGTGAAGCAGTAGTAGGTGCTGCAGTTGAGGGTGCAGCAGTTGTATGTGCAGAAATCATAGGGGCAGCAGTTGTGGGGGAAGCAGTTGTAAGTGCTGCAGTTGTAGGTGCAACAGTTGTGGGTGCTGCAGTTGTAGGTGCAGCAGTTGTGGGTGCTGCAGTTGTAGGTGAAGCAGTTGTAGGTGAAGCAGTTGTGGGTACAGCAGTCATAGATGTACATCTATTATTTTCTGCCTCGCTCATTAGAGTAACAGCTGGCGAAATTACAGCCTCGCCTACTGATTTTAATTCAACCATATATGGAGCCCGATCGTCGATTTCAAATGTGTGCTCTAAAATGATATTTATAAATGACTATTATCATTATTATAAGCAAGACAATAAATGGCAAAGATATGTAGAAAATAAACGTATTTAAGATACGTTCATAACAAACGTAACGTGGGAGAAAATACGTTTCTAACTAAACGTAATTGAGAATGCAGTTTAGTTCTGTGGGAACGTAATTTTTAGGAGACAGGGTTGGGCATGATGGTGGGTGAAGAAAAATAAAACAAAATATAAATGAAATCCCTCACAACTAAGTCATTAAAAACGAATTCCTGATTAACATTAATGAAAAGTGTCATTGTGTAACTATTTTATGAAAGCATCAATAGCAGGGTTGCCAACTTTGGGTACCTGGCTGGAGTGAGATTTTGATATCATGGGTTTAATTACACATATGCGCACTAAATGACTGCTATCGTGTCAGTAGCGGGACCCTAGCATATATATAGGATATATATACAATATATACAAATACACAATATTGGACAGAGACTATAAAGGGCATAAAGTTTCATTCACTAATGAAAGTCAAACACATGTTTGTTTCCACTGTTTTATTGTGTGCATTGGCCTGTCGCGATAAGCAATTAATTGACTTATCGTACGATAAATAAAAATGAACTCGATAAATTGCCATTTACATGAGGATATGACTAGCAGTTTGAAAGGATGTACTTGAATTATTATTATATATTATCATTATGTCAGTGGTCTAAAATGGTCATACAACGGTGCCAACAATATTATCGTTTATCGCAATAATTTCCGGGAAAATGCATCCAACAAAATTAATTATCGTGAGAGGCCTATACATGAAACACACACACACAAACAAATCTACAGACTTACTCCAAACTGCCAAATATATTAATTAACACACTCTCACTCTCATATACTCTTTGACTCTATTTTGGCCTAGTACAATAAGCAGCAGACTTTTACTTTTTTATCATTTCTACTGGATCTTAGATCTGCGCATGCGCAATACGGGTCGGGGATTGACCAACCGGCTCCACTGCTCTGCTGTCTGTTAACGTTGTTAAGAGTGGTGGGGGCGGGGAGGTAGCGGATCGACAGCTTGAGCAGCTGTCAACTCAACATTGTAAATAACCAACCAAAAACGATCGCCGGTTCATCTTGTTTTTGGCGTGAGAATAGTTTGGGCAGCGTGAGAGCGTGAGATTAAGAGTGAAAGCGTGTGTCACACGCCAGATGCGTGAGAGTTGGCAACCCTGTCAATAGTCAGACACACACTATGCAAAACACTATGCAAAACCCCCCACATGATACCACTCACTCTTGTCCATCAAACACTGAAGCCTGAGCAACTCACTGGTCTTTTCGGTGAGGCTGGCCTTCAGTCGGTCTCTCTCTTCAGTCACGTCGTGGTCTGAAATCAAGAGACAAAACAAAATATTTCCTGATTTTGCCCGAAGACAAAATAAAGAATGATATAAATAGGAGGAGGCCTGTAGTTGCAAACAACGGCTTGTATTGAGGCATGTGATAAAAGATAACTTCCCTCCCTCTGCGTCTTTTCAAGGGTTTTAATGACTCCACACATTCTACTATACGTTCAGTTACTTGATAAATGATTAAACGTATTAAAAGAAAGACTCACAGTGGACAGCGAGGCCGATGAGTCCAGCCAGCAGGAAAACACTCAGCAGCCCCAGACCGAGAACAGACGCTCTGAGAAATCTCCTGGGACCTGAACACAGAGAAAACCAGGGAGTAATACAGTAAATCCAGAATCCACAGTGCACTCTGACTGACACTCTTACCTTCTTGTATTGTTGATGATTTTGAGCTTAGGGTTTGGACATCGTCATAGATTTCCTCCATTGCTCATGGGAATGCCAACTCTTTCCTAGAAGGTCAGCTCTGCAGCAAGTATCCTGAAGTATGTGACCGAGGAGTGTGTGGTTGCTGGTTTGAATTTTTAAATGCTTTATCTTTTTGAGGAAATCACACATCATTTTATATCAACAAAAAAAAAGAAGAATATCAGGAAATACTAACTTTATTGATATGACCATATTAAAACATATACTATTGCCAAAGCACATTGACAATACAGATGTAAGACTGAAACAAGTGTGATAATCATGTCCATTGTGTTAAATAGAGACATATAATCTTACAAAGCCATAAAGATTAATAATATTCAAAATATTCTGATCCTGTAAAGATCTATTTTACTGGTTAATAAAAAGAGAATAGCATGTCATCATTGTGAAAGCAGCTTCAAATATTTGTCGGCGTGAAAAGCTGGCTCTCTTGATGGCACAAGGCACATGACGAACTGGCACAGATTTAAATAATATTATTCTGTTAATGTAATGTTAGTTTCTGAAAGTTGAGACAATTTAAGTTACCTTTTGTTGAACCACTGTATAAGTCTTTCAGTCTCCCTCTCAGCTATCCACTCTCAGGTGAAAGCCGTACTGCAGACGCCAGCTGATGCGCCACAACACCACTTCAAGCCCGGTGACTGGGTAGTGATCAAAGACTTCAGGAGACAACACTGGAAGCAGCAACGGTTCCAGGGAAGTAGCGTGCCAAGCTACCCACAAACGCATCAGAGGGTTGTGTTCATGTAAATAAAAGTTTTATATAGAAAACAGTTTTACATATGTATTTTTGATCCACACCTCCAAACACAACCCGCTTTCTGTGCATGGATCGCTCGACGCTGTGCATTCGTGTGTGTTTTTTTTTAGACTCCCCTGACGGTGACCCGATTCGTACTTGTAATTTGTTCTATCTATAGCCAATCAGATGTCTCCTCCAATACATTACATGTTACTTGTTAGCCGCTTTAATCCAAAGCGACTTACATACTCAATACTGTGGCCAATCACATGAGCGCACCCCCACGAGGGTATAATTTATTGCATTCATGACGTAGCACTTCATATACGCATTTTGCGCTGTCCGGAGCTGACAGGTCCATGGAGCTACCGAAGGACCGTAGTATAGTCGTCTTTATTTTTACGTTATTATTATTCAAAGATAAATAAGGAAGTTAGTGTTATATGAGATGGCAGAGAGGTTTCAGATCAGCTCCGATTATTAAACCAAAGAGGCTTAATGTTTTCTATTATATTATTTCACTATAGCTATGTGGACGGTGTCAAGGTCCAATGTTGACAAAATGAATCAATAGCGGGTGTAACTAAAATACAAGATATCTTTATTTATATATATTGTTTTAATAGGCCTAATAATAATAATATAAAAGATTGTATTTGCGTGCATTTCCTGTGGCTCGAATAATCGCTCGAGTTTCACGGCGGCTGTCAGCTGTGTTTACTCGCCTCATTTATCTGAGTCAGCTTCTCAAGCCGTATCTGGTCGTGCAACACGTACATTGTCACATACTGTATGCCAAAGTGTTATTTTAAACATTAAAGCTCCCATGTCATGCTTTTCCGGTTATTACCCGTCCCCTTGTGTGTTATGAAGGTTTTTATGCATGTAAACGGTGTGCAGAGTCAAAACCCTCAAAGTACACCCTGTAGCGAGTAAAACTCTAACACAGAAAATACCTCCCCAAAACGCCTCGTTGGAGATACGTCACTGCCCATTTGAGTCTTCCATTTAGTTCCGGGTACGGCCTGATGTCATGCGGTACCCTGAACGAAATGGACCAATCCCGAAGAGCTATGGTCACACCCAACGGCGCTGGCCGCACCCTCTGCCAGCCTAACATTTACTGTTGGAAGCTCTGGTTCAGTTCACAATCATCCAGTCATGCCACTGCCAAGGACCTGTTTCCTGAAATGTGAGGAGAAATCTGAGCTGTTTGTCCTGCCGACGGAAGAACCACGACTGTCACGATCTTATGAAGGACCCAAATGCAGCACTCGAGAAACCAAGGAGTATTGGTAATGTACTTTATTGGTAATACTACCAGAGCAGAGGAATACCAGCAGAACAGTATCAGCCGGATGATGTGCAGGCCGACGAACCAGAGGACAGCGGGCAGAAGGTGAGTCAGGGCCGGGCAGAGGGTCAGGGAGCAGGCGAGGCGGTCAACGTAGGTACAGGCAGGGTCAGACAGCAGGCAAGGCAGGATAGTCCAGGGACAGGCAGGATCAGGGAACAGGCAGAGCAGGCAGGTCAGGGACAGGCAGGGTCGGAACCGGGTGGGCAATCTGGTGACAAACGCGTGAAAGACTAGCATGAAGACAAAGTACGATCTGGCAATGGGTGTGTGTCTGGTGAGGGTTTAAATACTGGCAGTAAAGCTAATGGGTGCAGAAGAGAAAGAGAGTGAGCAAAAACGTGGGTGTGGTTAACAGGTGAGACAGGTGAATGGAAAACTACTGGTGAATGATGGAGCAGAACTGTGACAGAACCCCCCCCTTAATGGACGGCTCCTGACGTCCCTAAACACTAATCTACAGAGGAGGGTGGGAGGTGGGGTTAGTACTCATCTGAAAAAGTTCTTTCGGCCTCCTTCTCC